GGTAAGATCCTTTAACTTATGGTGCAAACATATTCTACATCTAGGAATGCGCTCCAGCCCACATCCTGGGTCACATAAAAAGCTCATTGTTTTGAGTGGGGCCTGGAGCAGGAAGTCAGGGCTGCAGTACAAACAGTCCTGCTGCTGGGACCAAATGATCTAGAAAAGCCTATGCCATTGGAGGTGTTAGCGATGGGAAACGATGCAGTGTGGCATATAGATGAAGCCTGAGGGGGAGCATCACCAAACAGACCTCTGGAGTTTTGGAGCAAGGCCATCTGCCATAGAATCTTATATGCTTTTTGACAAAGAGTTCCTGGTGTGTCACTGGGGCCTAGTAGAGACAGAATTCTTAATTATAGGACACTACGTAACCATGCGTCTGGAACTGTCCATTATGATCTAGGTTCTGTCAGACCCACAGAGTCATAAATTCAGGCAGGCCCAGCAGCAGTCCAACATAAGATCAAAACTGTGCATCTGGGATCGAGGCTAAGCAGGACCAGCAGACTTGAGGTAACTACATGAGCAGGTAGCCCAGACCCCGCTGTCACCCACCACAGTTGTTCCAGCACCCCTCCCTCAGATCACTCCTAGGACTATGTGGGGGTCCCATGTGACCAGCTGAAGGAATAGGACAAGCCTGATCATGTTGTATGAGTAGATCAGCTGGGTGTGTGAAAGCAAGCTGAGCATGGGCAGTGGTTTCATTATACTCAGGGAGGGAGGGAGCTTGAAAAACAACGGTGAGGAAAACTCATTTCAATGGGCAGAGCTCAGAGAGGTGCACTTGGTACTCATTTTGTGTGGAGGGAGCAGTGGCCTGAGCTGAGAACACATACGTACTTGTGGGTAGAGGGAATAGTCTGATAGGCTGGTCAGGGGTCTGGAAACAAAAGGACTGAAAATTTGGAGACAAGGAAGTTTGGCGTAGAGGAATATGGACGCCCTGAGGAGAGTGGGCATAATGTGTGAAGATTTCTGACTCACATGTTGACGGAAAACAGAAAGCATCCATAACAAGAAGGCAGTGAACAACCAAGGAGACACAACGACCAGGCCAGTTGACATTAGCCAGTCTTCGAATTGACATGATGGGTGGGCACATGAAGGGAGGGACCGCAGGGGCAGAGATAGAGCCATGCATGGCCTCTGTTTCACCGACACTTCTAAAAGTCTAACCTGCCAGCAATAGAGCCCAACTCTGAGCTCCCAATGTGGGAGCTTCAAGGAGATGATTTTCAACAGGTGATTTTTCTTATGTTGGAGGATCATTGTGCATCCAACATACGAGGCAACACCTTCAACATTTTCTTGAAAAATCCTAGGAATTTTAGCATCTTCAGTGCCTAATTTTAATACCTTTAGTACCTTCAGTGGTGGGTCATTTCCTGGCTTCAGTTTCATGCCTATTCAATTGAGTAAGCATACCTTTACAAATTGTACATATTAATAATAATAATAATAATAAAGCCATAATGTTAAACTGCCTAACATAAAGAAAGGAAAACAAACAGAAACAAACTATGGCAACTTTTCCAACCGTAGCTGGGACTTTAAATCAATGGTGTATGCAAAATTGCTTAGCCTCATATTGGGTCTATAATACTAGCTGCTCCAAAAATATTAGTTGAATAATTATCAGTAAGGCCACTGCCTCGATAAGAGCCTTTACAGATAATTACGGATGTAGGAAATTTAACATTTTCATGGGAATTGCTATACGATGCTGTATGTCCTTTCATGTCTTTAAAGAATTTTATAATTTCAGTTTTTATTAATAACTCTGTGTCAGCATGTGGACATCAAGCACTGCCTAGAATCAACAATGATGTCCTCAGGGCTGATGGCATGTACAAGGCTGTGTTTGTGTTTTACCTTAACCTCTGGTGTCTCCTCTTCTCTATTTGGTATATTTGCTGTTATATTTTTTGTCCTCTATTCTGATTCCTTACAGATATCAGTGGACATCAGAGTGTTACAGCCAAGATGGAAATGAACGGAGAGTAGCCTAAATTAAGGGGTATTTACTAGGAAAATATTTGGTGTTATCATGGCAATGACAACTCTCTAAGCTTATGGAAAATTGAGCTGGCATCTGGAAAACCATCAGTAACAAGGCTGTGCATGCGTGTGTCTGTGTGTGTGTGTTTGTGCCACAATCTCTTTTCTTCATTTTTTCTCTGTTCTATTTTCTTGCTCGTTACCTACATGGCTTAAAATGGTTGTCCCAGCCCTGACTAAACTTAACTTTAGTTCAAGTGCCAAATACCATCTATGAAGTCTCTATAGTTTTCAGTTCAACTTATCAAGAATGAGACTATGATATGACCTCAAAACAGGCAATAAATTAGCTTTTTTGATATCACTCTTGGTCAGAGAAAAAGAAAGATCTGGAGTACAGGGGTCCTATGGCATAAACATAGCTGCCTAGGTCCACCCCTTATAATTTGCTGTGTGTGTGTGTCAGTTCTTATGGAAGGAACTAGAGAGAATTTGTAATTTGTAATATCTAGTTTTGATCCTAAATTAGAGATGGAAAAATTATATCTAGTCCTCCTAAAAACTGTAGTATGTTTCCATTTTCATCCTGACTTACATTTGAGAGGGCTTTTCTTCTTTAGACGGTATTAAGGGAGGATGAAAGGATTAGAGTCCCTTATTTTTTTCCCTGACTGTTCTGTACTATCTACCAGAATTGTCCTAAGAACAGGTTCCAATACTATTTCAGGGAACACCAATAAACTCATCCATATAATGCTATTTTTCTTTAAGATCAACTTAGACAGAATGGTTGATCAGCTCCAGGGAACATGGAAATCCATTTCTTGTGAAAATTTTGAAGAATATATGAAAGAACTGGGTGAGCCATGTTTACTTGTGTATCACATCCAGTAAAAATGGGAGCTCTGACAGCACAGGACTTACTCTGTATGAAATTAGATTATTCTTAGACCCCTCCCTCCAATTTTTCACATAGAAACAATAAATATTGCTTCCGCACCTAGATATAGTTCTGTGCGAAACTAGGTTGGGAATGACATAATCCCCGCCCTCATGTAATTTACCATGGATTTACATAGATAAAACGTGCATATGCCATATACTAAACAGCAAATGATTTTAATAAATAATCATTTTGCAAGTATTTGCTTTTGATCTTTAAGGGATCTTCAGAATAGATCTTGTTTTCCAGCTTCTGATGGCTGCTGGCATTCCTTGGTGTGTGGCTGATCTTTGCTCCCGTTATCACATTGCTTTCTCCTTTCTGTAGTCTAATATCCAGCTTCCTCTTCTTATAGGAAAAGTTTCTTCTTATAAGGAAACTTGTGATTACATGTGAGGTCCACCTAGATAATCCAGAATAATCTCCCCATCTCATGATCCTTACATTAACCACATCTGCAAAGTCCCCTTTGGCATATAAAGTAACATTCACAGGTTCCAGAGATGAGGATGTGAACATCTTTGGAGGCCATTATCTAATCATATCTTGTCATCATGTATCACAATATGAATTCCACAAACCATATTATAGTATTTCCCCAATTTATCTTCTCTTAGCAATTTAACTTAGGTATTGCTGTATGTGTAATGCTATTTCTATAGGAAATACTCCTTTACGTATTGCATAAAGCTGTGTGCACAAGGATGTTCACTATAGCATTATTTATAATAGCAAAAAATGGAAACAAACTAAATGCCCATCCATAGGGGGGCAGATAAAAAAATTTTGGACTATACATATTATGGAATATTCTGTGGTTACGACAAAAATATATATCTATATGTATTGACATGGAAAATCTCCAAGACATACACGTAAGGGGAAAAAGCAAGTTGGAAAACAATAGTTATATTATAAAATTTATATTTTTTAGAAACATATATATAGTGGTGAAAGTTGCACAACATTGTGAATGTACTTAATGCTACTGAATTGTATAGATTAAAATCGTTAAAATGTTAAAAATAATAAATTTTACAAGTATTTAACTACAATAAAAAACATAATAGAGAAAATAAACCCTATATATGTGTACATATACAAATGCAAATGAAGAGATAAAGATCTGGAAGAATCCATGCCAAAGTATGTTGTTTGTATGTAAATTAACATATTTTTTAAAAAGGGAGATGGTTCATAGTTTTAATCCAATTTTCAAAGAGGTCTATGGACCAACAAGATTAATAACTACTGGACTAGAGAAACATGACAACTGCTACACAAAAACTAGAGACTGATATTTTTTTCTGCAAATACAATCTATTTTAACATATAATGGTGGCACTACCAGCTTTAGATATTTGAATTCATGTAGCACTAAATCTGTTTAACTCACAAGCCTCCTAGTTAAGAAAGAATTATACAGCTAACGTGAGTTCTTGGAGCCGACAACAGATTTAACCATTGCGTTCTTTTATCTGGTTTCCAGGAATAGGAAGAACCAGCAGGAAACTTGGCTGTCTGGCAAAACCCACTGTGACCATCAGTACAAAGGAAGATGTGATCACTATAAAAACCAAAAGCATCTTTAAGAATAATGAGATCTCCTTCAAACTGGGAGAAGAGTTTGAAGAAACCACACCAGGTGGCCATAAAACCAAGGTGAGGCCTTCAACACTCTTTCAGATAAATTTCATGAATGTTAATTTGAAATCATCCTAAATAAGAAATTATAGCAAACATATCAAAAATCTGTGTTAGATAAACTTTGGGCTAAAACCTAGGTCTGAGGACCATAAATTTAAATATATACACAAATCTTCTGGGATGCTTGTGAAAAATGCTTCTTTCTAGGTCCCATCCCTGGAGGCTCTGATATCTGGGGTGGGCACCTGAAAATTGTATTTTTAGCAACAATTCTGATGCAGGTGATCAGCAGACCACATTTTGAGAGTTATTTCTCTAGATTGTCTCTCAGAAACAAAAGTTCTGCCTTTCAATTTTGTAGCATTTTGACACATAAAATTATGATGAATAAAACTTATATTAGCTGGTATAGGAGAGATTATGCCACGGTAACATATTAATCACAAGCTCTCAGTAGCTTAACACAATGGGGATTTATTTCTAACTCATAGTACATATTCAGTGTTGGAGTGGAGTTGGGGAAATTTATGTATGTGTAGGGAGGGGGTGGGAATTGGGGGCATAGAGTATCTGCCCCTCTTAATTTCTCAGGGACCCAGGCCCAAGGAGGTTCAACTACCTTGTAGCTGGACAATCAGGTACTTGGGGTCTCCTCAGTCAACAAGATAGGGAAAGATACACTGGGGTTTTTATTGCCTCAGCCTGGAAGTGACACACACAGTTTCTTCGATCTTATGGGCTGCAACTGGAATACATAATTTACTTTTTATTTATATTTTATCTTTATTGTAAGTCCCCCCATTCCATAAGTCCCCCCAACCTCATAAGGTTGTTGTGAGGATTAAATCATGAATCAATATACGAAAATCTCTTTGAAGAGTGCCTCACACCATAGTGCTACATAAGTGGTAACTATTGTTGTGATTATTATTATCATTTTAATTATTTTTATATTGTTGGGGTAAAAAGAGGAAATGGGACTTCTCTCCTTTAAGTAAGATCTTACAGTGGGAGTTTGAATTAGCTTCACATGTATTTTTAAAGTTGAAACTTACTTGTGATTCTTTATGCAAAAAAATAATACTTTGCCTATACAATAAAATATAAAAAAGAATGTTTTACTTACCCTTCACAATAATATTATGATTTTACTCTTATAAAACTATTTTTTGCCAGAAGAATCAGCCAACAAATTTACTGTTGACAAAGTCTTAAAATAAATGGAATTGTAAACACCATTCTAAAACTATCTGAGAATAGCAAAACAACTGAAAAGAATTTGCCACATGATAAAATTTTAGAGTTCAAGCATGACAATCTGAGCTGAATTTGGTTTTGTGTGTTTTTCAGAGTATGGTAACCTTAAATAATGACTCCTTGGTTCAGGTTCAGGACTGGGAAGGCAAAGAGACCACTATAACGAGATGGTTGGTAGATGGGAAAATGGTGGTGGTGAGTGAGCTGTTTCTCATTAGTTTGTTCACCTATTATAATGTCTAGATATAAAATCACTCAGATAGCTTGTTTTAAAACAGTGGAGGTGAATGTAATTTTTCTTTTCCTCTTGCTTTACAAGAGTGGGGGAAAACATTGGCAGATAGACATATCATCATAAATGTTATAAAATGTGCATGGATTGAGGAACTAAAAACCTAAAGAGAATTTAAGAAATTGTCTTGCCTGTTCTTTGACTTGTCTGTAAGCCAAAACAAGCATGTACTTTTGCAATAAAGATTTCAGCAGGAATTGAGAGTTGTTGCTAAACTTCTGCTCCACACCAGGATTAATTTCTCACTGTTTTCCAGGTCAACACCAAAGAACAGTGTGAAAAGGAAACTTAAACTAGGGATGCAAAGCTTAAATGGTGTCTATTTGGTGTAATGATGAGTTGACACAAATAAAAACTAACATTTATATGGCTACCACATCCCCATGTTTTCAGATATTATTTACCCAACCCTCACAATAATCCTGTGAGATAAGATTTATTAGCCCTTTTCACAGGTGAGAAAATTGAGATTCAAACACTGACTTACCTAAGGATATTGAGCTAGAAAAATGTGGTGCCAGTATTAAAATCCAGGTTGTCTTAATTCCAAAGTCTATACTTTTTTGAGTCTATCCTGCTCCCTCTCAGCATCGCTTCCCAGGTCATGTCTCTCGCTTCTACAGAGTGGTGGGAAATATGTCAACGCTTCCCCTTCCCCCATACCCCCACCTCCACCAAAATTAATAAAAAGATAATTTAGGACATAATATAAAATAAGTTCTAAGGGAATATGCAATAATTGTGTGGAAGTAAAAAAAAAAAATCTATCCTCATTTCTCACCACCCGCCCCCGTATCCTTTATAATTAAGTGTTTGCTCACCTGTTCTGATAAAGAGCTGCAATTTTCCGATTTTGTCTATCTATTTATCTCCTTGCTCAAAACTTTGAAAACTTTTGCCTTTCTCAAGTAGGAGGACATCCTTCATGATTTCTTGTAAGGCAGGTCTAGTGGCAATGAGCTCCCTCAGCTTTCGTTGGTCTGAGGAAGCTTTCATTTCTCCATCATATCTGAAGGGCAGTTTCACTGGATAGAGTATTCTTGGCTGAAAGTTTTTGTCTTTCAGTATTTTGAATATTTCACTCCATTCTCTCCTGGCCTGTAAGGTTTCTGCTGAGAAACCCACTGAAAGGCTGGTGGGGGTTCCTTTGCAGGTTATTTTATTCTCTCTTGATGCCCTTAATATTTTTTCTTTGTCATTGACTTTTGACAATTTTACTATTATATGCCTTGGAGAAGGTCTTTTTGCACTGATGTAATTAGGAGTTCTATTAGCGTCATGTACTTGTAAGTCCAGTTCCTTCCCCAGGTTTGGGAAGTTCTCAGCTATTATTTCTTTGAACAAGCTCTCTGCTCCTTTCTCCTTCTCTTTGCCTTCTGGGATACCCATTATCCTTATGTTACTTTTCCTAATTGAGTTGGATATTTCTCAAAGGATTTCTTCATTTTTTAAAAAATCTTAGTTATCTCTCTGCCTCCGCCTGAATCATTTCTAGGTTTCTATCTTTGAGCTCACTGATTCTCTCCTCCATAGGGTCTGCTCGGCTTTTTTGCTTTCTACATTATTTTTTATCTCATTAATTGTGTTCTTCATATCCAGAATTCCTGTTTGGTTGTTTTTTTTAGAGCTTAAATCTCTTTGGTGAAGTTTTCCTTCTGTTCATTAATTTTATTCCTAAGGTCATTGAACTATCTTTCTGAGTTTTCTTGTAACTCATTGAGTTTCTTCATGACAGCTATTTGAATTCTCTGTCAGTTACATTGTAATCTTCTGTGACTTCAAGTTTGGTTTCTGGAGAGCTGTCATTCCCCTTCTGTTCTGCAGTGTTACTGTAGTGCTTCGTGGTCTTTGATGAATTGATCCTCTGCCAGTGCATTTGTGGTAGTAATCACCTTTCTTATCTGGGTACAGCTTTGGTTACTTTGGTTCTGAGCTGCTTCTGGTGGTATTTGAGAGCCTGCACTTTCCACCCTCCACTCTCTCTGCTAGAGGCATCATCAGTGCCCTCCTTGTTCCTCTGAGGTTGTTGGTGCCTTGCTGCTTATGATGTCACTGCAGTCTCAGGTGTCACCACTGGAGTCACCAGGCTGTAAGCACTTCTGCTGCTTCCAGGGTTGACTGGGACTCATGTTCCCCAACTTCCTTTCTGTGGGCTCTCCATGGGCTCTCCATGGGCTTGGTGCTGATTCCCCATGTACCACCTGCACTGCTGCTCCCAGGTTACCTGGAAGTGCTGGCAGCACCGCTGCCAGGGGTGCTGGGTTCATAGATGTCACTGTTGCTGTCGGGGGCCCAGGTTCTTGTACACATCCCCTGCTGCTGGTAGACCTGGTGTCTGGTGTGCCACCATTGGGGGCTGCGTCTCAGGTTCTGCTGTGGTTCCTGAAGCCTCAGGTTGCATGTGCCACCTGCCATGGCTGGGGGAGGAGTAGGAGCTAAGCTGCACATGTTGTTACTGGCCCTGCAGTCTCTGGTTGCTGGTGCCCAATAGTGTGCTCTTTGAGACGTCAAATCAGGGCACCCTGCTCCTGCTGGTGAAATCTGAGTTTTGGTTGCTGTCCCCACTGCTGGAGAGACCAGGGCCACTGCTAGGGGAGAAGGAGGGGGATGGGTCACCAGCTCTGCTCTGTGTCCTGAAACCTCAGGACATGTGTACCACCCACCGCCACCTGGGGGTGGAGAGGCCAAGTCACAAGTGCCACATTTGCCTCTGGTCGCTGGCATGCATGCTGGTATGAGGATACGCATCTTGGATCTCCACTGCTAGGGGACTCAGGGGGCTGCTTCCCTAGTTCCACTGTGTCCTGGAGGTCCAGTCCACCCACCTTCAGATGCATAGATACATGGATCTCTCAGGTGTTCTGGTGTTGTGTGCAGGGAGTCCTTTTTTGGTCACTAGATGTCTGATGGGTTGTAACTCAGAGGGGAGAGACAAAGGGGACGACTCACTCTGCCGTGATGCAGACGTCACTCTCTGCCCTCATTTCTTAATGATGTGTTATTTTTTCTTTCAACAATGAAGAGTACATTTCCTTATAAAGTAAGAAGTGGAGGACTAACATTATTTATTTTACTGCTGTTTATAATGACATCAACCACTAAGCAGATAGATTTACAGTTCATTAGGAAGAAAATTAGATTTAGAATCCAGAGATGTGGTTTTCCATCTCAGCCACTCAGTACTTATATCACTTTGGACAAGTCATTTATCCTCTCCAAGATTCAAGTTCCCTGCCTTCAAAATGTAGAAAGTGTTTTCACAGTTTTTTTGAGAGAATTAAATACCATCATGTATATACCCGTGCTCTGAAACCATAAAATACTACATCGATGTAAGTTACTATTAGCATTTGAAAAGTGTAGAGTATGTAAAATAGCAAAAATGCTTCAATGTAGGCATTTAAAGTGTTTTAATAAAGACTTTAAATTCCTACAAATACACTTTGTTTTTTTGTATATATATATACACACACAAATTTATATACACACACATCATATACACCGTATATATATACACACCATATATAATATATGATTTGCCATATGTGTGTGTGTATATATATATATATATAAATATATATATGGCAAAATCAGCCAACAAATAGTTGCTATCTGTAATTGTCTGTACAGATCTCTTTCCAAGATTTTTAAGGAATGTATGTATGGCTAGTACTTATTTTGCGTTTTTCTAAACGTCAATTTCACCAACAATACTGAAATATCTTATCTTTTGTCTGCCTTCTAGGAAAGCGCCATGAACAGTGTTATCAGCACTCGGACGTATGAGAGAGTACAGACAAACTCGGTCTCCAACTCTTAAGCACTCCCAAACTGTGATCCAAACTGCTGAGGTGGTTTAGATATGACTCTGAAGTAAAATACTACAACTGCTGACACAAGAGAGCCTTTGCACAAGCGTCAACAATTTGGCTGCCCTGTTGAACATGCCTGTGTCACGTAGGACCTTGGCATTGGCAGCCATGAGAAGCCAGGACGATGTATCCTTTTCAACGCGGGGCTGCTGTAATACATTCAGAGTGGCACTTCGTGTTGTTTTTCTTCTTGTTAAGCATATGTCAATCCTTTATATTCAACACGATCTGCGCTATATTGGGAAAATAATGTTAATTTTTTAATAAACTAGTTAGGACATAGTGTGCCTCAAAAGTTACACCTCAACTTATGTGAAAGGGTAATAAACAGATCTGGAACCAGTCTAATATAATACCAAACTATTTTTACAGAGAACACCATAACCACTACCACCATCACTGAAAGCCAATACAGAGGAGAATATTCTGTTTTATTAGCACCGAACCTTAGGCACTTTAGGCCAGAAATGGATTTCAGAAACCGTGTGGACTGATCACTGCATCTCTTAGATGGAGAAACAGGCCCAAATTGGTTAACTGCACTTCAATATCACCCCAATGGTTTCAGGAGGAATTGGAACTAGAATTCACGCTTCCTAATTATTCACCTCACAACCGTAACAAAGGGAATTTAGGTAGAAACAGGTTCACAGTGTACAGTTATGAGTCAACTGTAACACTACATCTAACTAATGAATAAACAAGCTTCCGTGTGTCTTAAAATGTGTGGCAGGAGGCCACAGCTTAGTCCAGGTGTGGATGTGGAGTTTGGCCATTTGAACACGTGGCCTGTCATTTGCCTGAATTGACACATAGGGGGTCTTGATGCTCTAGTCAAAGTGAGAGAAGTGCTTGTTTATTTTTTTGGTGTACTGAAATGATGAAGAAGACAACCAAAGGCATAGAGAAACATCCTTCTGAGCTGCTTGGACTGCACAGAGAGGGGATTGCAGGCAGAGTTGGAAGGGGCATGTGCAACTCTGCGGCAGGGCCCAGGTAATAGCCTGCAGCACGGAGGCGAGACAGAAGCATCCTCCCTGTCAGGATGGACCCCAGCACTGCTCTGACATCTCAAGGGGCAGTGTCTCCGGGAGCTTCACAAACAGGGCTCCTGGTTTCGATGTTAGGGTTTCCTGTCTTCTGTGGAAGGAAGACACTCTTGTAGGCAGCAGAGTCAGTGCAGGAAGCCTTGTGGTGAAGGGATAGTTATCAGACACCAGCAGAATACAGGCAGGATACCCCTGATGACCCCCAGGAACCCCTGGGGCGGGGAGCAGGGGTGAACTTTGCAAGGGACTGGAGTTCTACATGAGCAAGTGCAGCCATGACATTTGGGTAACGATGTTAATATGATTTTGTAAACAATCTGATGAACTCTAGAGACTTTTGGCTACCCCCCCCGCCCCCCCAAAAAAACTCAGAAAAATACAACAGCAGCTAAAGTTTTCAGAAGTAAGCAGCACGCCTACCTTCTTCCCACCGCCTTTACCTGACTGACAATCATTAAAATAGAAAGTCACTCACTGTGACTGACGGAAGTGGAGCGTCCCTCAGGTATGGTCGGGCAATCCATCTCAAAACAAACCGAACCAGACTCACCGCTGCTCTGAAGAGATACTGTGGTTCAGGATTCACTGCACACTCGCCACGCACCAGGCACAGCATGAGAACTGGGGATGGAGGAGAGCTGAGTGCTCACTGCCCCTGACTGACTCAGAAGAGAAGGGACCTACTGGGAAAGTATCACTTGGGCATGCTATCTCAGGGAATTTGTAAATAACAGGTTGCAAAACAAATGTTTCCACCTAGAGAGGAAGATCTGGTACCACTTTCTGGGTGAATAATTGCCTTGCCCTGGAGGGAAGAAAACCGGCACTAAGGGTGTAAACGGAGCAACGAGGGGACCGCGGTTGGGGCGGGAGGCGCCCGATTGGGCTCGTGTGTGCTGTTTTCGGACGCCTGTCCTGGAGTGTCCGTCCTTCTCTGTTGCAGCCTCAGTACAGTTTGCACCAATTCAGTTCAATAATCGTTATTCAGGATATTTAGGGAATGGAGAGTTACTCCTAGAGAGGCATAACTTGTTCTTCCTAAGCTGGGAAAAGTTTGGGTTTTTAAAAAATCACATTCGTTGATTCAGATTCGGCCAAAATATTACTAGAATAGAAATCAGAGAGCCAGCCCTGATGGCCTAGTGGTTAAAGTTCGGCATGCTCCGCTTGGGTGGCTGGGGTTCCCCTCCGGGTCACAGAACCACACCATCCATCTGTCAGTTGCTATGCTGTGGGGGCGGCTCACATAGAACTAGAACAACTTACAACTACTACAACCATGCACTGGGGCTTTGGAGAAGGAAAAAAAAAAGAGGAAGATTGGCAACAGATGTTAGCTCAGGGTGACTCTTTCCCCGCAGATAAAAAAAAAAAAAAAAAAGAAAAAGAAATCAGAAAACCCTGGGTTACAGAAAGAGAGGATATTTTGATTTTACTTAAACAGTGAAGTTAACGATGTTGAGTATTTTCTATCTAGTGAATAAGTGTGGGGAAACAATGTTCCATTTGAATAATTCAGTTGACAATAATCTAAGATGAAAAATAAAATTATAACAATGATAAAAGACTGGTTTTTGAGTAGTTATTAAGAGCTAGACACTGTGTATAGCACTTTCTATGCCTACCTCATCTTCCCTTCTGTGACGTATTTACAAAGGTATAAAATAAGACACAGAGGTTAAATATTTTGCCTAAAGATCCTCAGCTGATCAATACCAGGGCCAGAATTCAAAACTAGGTTTCTGTGACTCCAGGTCTATGTTCTTTAACCATGGTGCCAGAATGTCTCTCCAGAAATCAAGATAAATATTGTGAGAGTTTCTGTTAGAGTCTTTCTATGTGATAATAAGTATGATAAATAAATGCACAAATAAAACCATAACCTGAGAGACCAGCCCTACCTAAACCCTCATACCCAGAACTGATTAGAGATTACCTTTTGGAGTAGAACATTTAAGAAGCAGAAAACAGCCAAACCATGACTAATTCTGTATAAGACAGATTTGTCAGGAAATTCTTGCTCAATGCACTAAACAAAAGGAATAAAAGCTAAGAATCTGACACCATAGGAATTGGACTAAGAGAAAGAGAAGGTCCAGTGAGTTTTAGCTTACTACTTATAGACGAGAATTATGTTGGGAATAAGTTGAGAACACAGTTACATGTTATAATTTGGGAAATTTTCATATTGACACAGTGTGGAGATGTCATAGAAATATAATTTTAACGCTCGGCAGGGATCTGAGGATCTTCAATTAGAGTTTCCCATTTAAGAGACTAGGGAACCGAGGTACTCTTGAAGAGGATGGTGACAAGGTCTTGCCTGTGGTCATCCCGGTTCTGAGTGACCACTGGCGTGTTGTGTGGATTTGCTCTTAGCAATTACTGTAGACCATATGGAGTCCACCGGACAGAATCAGAAGAAAACTGAAGTCCCCATTATAGACCAACTTTAACCAGCATTGTTGATGGGATATGACATTTAATCAAACAAATATACTGAATTTAGTCCAGCACCAGATGTAAATACAACTCTTGCTGCCAGAAAGACTCATTTAAGTCTTATGGCAAAGAATTGTATCTTCCTTGTTTCATGATATGAGCACTTCTTTGCATACCCTGCAAAAATTACTGACTTAACTTTGTTTACCAGCAATTTTCAAACATTTTTTTTCAATCAATGGAAGCTATTGCCAAATAAATTGCATGCAGAGCGATAATGTGTAAAACACATCAATGCAGAACCCTCCTGTCTGTGCGGGAGGTCCCAGAACCCCATGAATGATTTCATTGGCCTTTCCCATGTTCAAGGAAGGTTCTAGAGGACACCTTTAATTCACTTCCTGTCTGCTGGCAGCCAGTTTTATGAGAAACCTCGTGGGGTTGGGACCCAGACCTCTGAGGAGTCTCCAGATGGCTAGTGCTCTTGTCTCTGATGCGGTGCCATGAGGCTGGTTCTGAGAAGCTTGCTAAACGATGGCCTGAAATCAACTGCAGCTCCTGGAAACTCCTGCTGCTGGCAGACTGAAGAAATATGGTTGGGGTCATGCTGATAGGAACAAACAACATGACAGCTGAGTAAAGATATGAAAGAGTTAGGGAATGAGCCAGGCATATAAGCAGATCAATTAGGAAGCTCTAACAATATTTCAGGCACATGATCATGGTGACTTGCAATGTGGATGGCAAGAAGTCATAGGATTTGGGATAGATTTCTAAGTTAGAGTTAACAGAATTTACCGATGGATTGATGAGTGATTTAAAACTATTTGGTCTTAGATATTAGAAAGATGCATGTCATTAAGTGACATTACATCTAAACTATGCCAGAATGGTTGTCTGATTTTATAAATTCACTGCAAAACTAAACAGAGCAAGCCAGAACCAACTAAGCTGATCCCAAAGAGTGGCTAATTTATTTATTTAGAAAACATTAGAGAATTCCCTTTCTGGCCAAGATGGAGTAGCAGGGGTCAAATTTACCTGCCACCTGAATCAACAGAAAAAGGAACAAGTTATCTGAAACAATGGTTTTCAGGACACAGGACTTCAGGGAAAAAGAACAGGGATCCAGAGAGAAGGGAAACACGTGAGTGAGCCCAGTCATTGCCCCAGTCTCTTCGTGTACTCAGAGGGGCACCAGCACCAGCTCAGCAGCATGCCCTTTCCTCAGAAGTCTAGTCCCGTGATCCTCAGAAGTCTAGTCCCAGCTTCACGGGACGCCTCCTCCAAGCTTTTAAATTCTAAAAGCCCATTCCTTTTCCTTTCCCTTTGCCCCTGCAGCCATAGGGGTAGTAGCTGAGTCCTGCTGTTCACTATCTCTGTGTTACCTCCGTTTAGCTTTTTTAGTTCTCTAATACCAGCTTCAACAATTCCTGATATTAAAATCTCTCTGCTGT